CGCTGCAGCCGCCCGACAGGCTCCACCGCCGGAGTCCGTTCGCCCTCAGCGCCTGCCGGGTGTGTCCGGGCGCTCCGCTCATTCCGGCCTCGGCCTCGGGTGGTGCCGGCGCAGCCCTCTCGGGGGGAGCGGCCCGCCTGGTGCCAGGGCGCCTCGGGGGTCAGGCCGCAGGGCCAGCTCGCTCTGGGGAGGTGCTGCGGGACAGGCCAGGCTGCTGCCAGGCCGCCCACCCGCCCCTGGCTTGTGGAGTGGGTTGGCGGCTTCTTCTCTGAGGGGGCTGGCAGGCACCAGTGGTCAGAAGCGGTGGGCGAAACGCCAGGCGCAAGGCCATGACCGACTGCCATAGATGTGGCCTACATGCAGAAGCACTAGGGTTGTACCCTGTCCAGGTTCAAAGAGTAAACCTGGGGCATGGCCTGTGGCGTTGGACCAGTTGCCTGCTTTTAGCCACGGGCAGTGTGAGGCAGGTGCTGGACCAGCCTCAGCATTCGCAGCACTCAGATGGCACCGTTTGTGGTGCCCATCCTTGGGCTGCACTAGGACCTGGTGCATGTGCCAGCTTGTCCGGGATGTGCACTGTACACTGCATCCCTGCTTGTGCTCCAGGGCAGGGGCAGGAAGAGTCTTGGACTGGCCAGGGCCAGCAGGGCAAAGGGGACCTGTGGGCCTGATTCAGCCAGCCCCATGCCATTCCTCTGGCCCATGGACTTGCCTCGCACCACTCATCTGGTCTGTGGGGCGGGGCACCCTCCTTCTTCTGCCTGTGGCTAAAAGCAGTCAGCCAGTTTGATGGAGCCCTCTGCCATGGAGTGCCACAGGACACTGGCCAAGACCCAGTCAATGGCCATTCTTACTAGATGAATTTAACTCTCTGCTGTAGGCTACCTCCTAGCTGAGTGCCAGTAGGAGGAGAGGGGACGTGGGAGATGTGTAGAGGTATGTTGAGTTGCATAAAGAGCTTGTTCTAACAGAGTGTCAGAAATATCAAATGAACTGCCAGTGTCCAAAGCTAACTGGTTAGACTTGTGGCACCCAGAAGTCATGGGGTAGGTTTCTGATTTGCATGATTGGTGTCTCCCTGTCGTGGAAGGATTTTAATGGGATTTTTGGTTTGTCTGTGGACAAATGATCCTGGTTTTTCAATCGGAAACCAAAACAAGAGGATTTGAAACCTGGTGAAATGTTCTCGCTGTGCAGTCAATTTCATGATGCGTCTTGTATTCTCTTCTCCCCCCTCCTCCCCAATCAGGAGCAACTCTTACAAGCGTTAGATTTTCGGAACCAGTATTCTGCTCGTCCATACTTACCCTCGCACATCCTGCCTCCTGAAAGGAAACGGGTATGTTTTCCATACCTAATATTTCTCCAAGGTTTACTTTACGGAAACTTTGAACAACTTTTTGTGCTGGATTTTCACCCTTTGTTGCAGGTGTTTTGCAGTGTCTTATTCCTTTTGGATCCAGCGTTTCATCTGGATCTTCAGCTGAGGACAGTATTCAGAAATGATCGGGTACCCTACCAATAGATACAGAAAAGACTGAACTCCCCTGGTTTGGGAGCAGGACATTATGCCAGCAGGGCTTTTAGCCTTCCAGAGTTTATCCAATTATAGATTAGATGGTGGTTGATGAATTTGCACACTTGGAGTTCATTATAAAATGCTACCACAAGGTATCATAAAGATAGGTATGATAGAAAAAGTTGTACAAGAAAAGCTGAAGCAATAAAATGTACTTGGATGTACTTGAATGTTTAGTCATCCACATAACCTACCCACTGTAGTTGTTACACATCTTCCATTGTCTAAGTGTGGAGGATGAGAATTCATTTAGTAGGGCAGCTAAGCTATTTCATTACCATCAGAGATGATTCTGTTTGAACAAGGAAAGGCAGGCCTGAGAAGTGAAGTTGGGTATCTAATCTTTTCTGCTACCATATTTTTCTGGATAAATAGGAAGGAAGCCTCACATTTCACTTTTTCCAAAGCTTGGAGTTCACTTAAAAATAAACACTGCTTAAAGGAGATTATCTCAGTTAAATATTACATTGCAATCTATTCTGTTCCTTTTCCATTTCTTAGGTACTTTTGACAGATGTCTTGGAAGTCAGATGGCCTAGCCCTAACTCTCTTGATGCTGCCATATGTCTGGATAATGGGAGTGTGAAGATATCTTCTTTAGATGGTCATGCCCACCTCTACATGTCAGAATTGCAGCAAGATTTTACAGTGGAGTTCTTGTGCAAAGCTAGCCAGAAGCCTGCAAAATCTTCGCTTTTCTCTGAAAAAAAAAGCAAAAAAGATGAGCAAGGGAAATCAAGCCAAAGCTGTATTTCAGAAATGTCAGAACGGCTGAGATTGGAGAATAAGAAAGATGAATGCAGTATTGTAAACAAATCCAGGAAACCAGCCCAATCAAATAACTACTTAAACCAAACAGAAGGAAGAGATGAGGCCAATTTGTCTCTGACAAGCTGTTACTCTGACTACGTCTGGGTTACACAGCACTGGTCTGTTTCCTCATACCCAGAAGAGTGGAAATACCCTTTGTCTCTGGCATTAACATTCTATCAGCTGCGCGCTGATAGCCTCCCATCTAAAACGCATGAACAAGATAAATACTCTCAGAACAAAACTGTAGAATCTGAGCTTTTAAAGGAAAGTGAAAACTGCAAGGCAATTTCTCATTTGCCTGAAGCTTTACCACTTGGCTGTACTGCACCACACCTACATAGGTAACTGTATCATGTATTTGCTTTTAGTTTTAGCAGTGTTTTGCTGCTTCTCAGACCTGAATATCTGCTTCATCAGTAATATCCCTAACTGAATGATAAATGAATCCCAACCCTCAGTAATATACGTTAAAACTAAAAGATGGAATCTTATTACAGACTTCATGAAATGTGGCATTTGTAAGACCAACATTACATAGACTAATCTAAAATAATCCGAAGACAAATGTTGATCTTTAATGTCATAGAGAGAGTCTGCTTGCACAATTATAGAAGTAAAAATGAGAATAGTGAAAAAGCAAGCTACAACTTTTTTAAGGAAATGAAGCTTTGAAAGTGTGTCAAGACATGTATTCTCCAATATTGTACACTTTGAGAAAGCGGAAGTGGACTGGGTGTGTAGATGTATGTTTGTATTCATACACAGATATCTTCTCTGGTAGGCTATTTATAGCAAAGGATGGAAGGAGAAAGCAAGCCTATAACTTTTTAAAAAGTCAGACTAAATGGTAATAAACTGCTGCATTACTTAGGGGACAAAAACTTAAGGATCATAAGGTTCATATATTTTTCTCTCAAACCAATTGACTAAGAGACCTATTTTTAAAGAGAACTTCTTACCTACCAAGATTATTCTCAGAACTTGTCCATATTACAGTTCCTGAATGTGAACTGATTTTTAACTTGGCAATTTCATGTTTGGTATTTTGTAAAGAAGTAAGCAAACTATTTAAAGTTTCTTTTTATAGCGTAAAATACTAGAACTAGCAATCGGTAATACTGATAAACTACAAACTTGCTGTGATTTGGTTTTGAGTTTGTTTGTTTGTTTGTTTTGCCCAGGTGGATTTTCTGTGACTTTTTTCTACAGAAAGGGAAAAATACTGAACCATGTTCATACCCTCAACTAATAAACATTGTTTGGTGCCAAGGTATTCTTTATAGGTAGGAGTAACAGATAATCTGTTCATTTTTGGAAAAGTGTGTTTGTATGGAAATTTAATCACAAAGATGAAATGTTCTGATCCAAGACCCTATTCTACTTTCTGAGAAACTAGTTAATATTCTGGTCAGAATATTTTTGACTGTTTAGGCCTTAGCCCATACAATGCAGTCCATGTGAATCTGTCTCCCATGTTTCCACAAAACCTCATTGACATTGTTAGGGTTGCTTGCACAGACATGGGACTGTCTATATCAGAGGTCAGCAACATGACCTGCAGACTGGACCTGGCTTGTGGAGCCGCTTGATCCAGCCTGAAGAGCTGGGAGGCTCTGCCTGTGCCTGCATCCAGGCCTGGCAGGAGCTGTACTTGATCAGAGCAGTTCCAAGCTGCACCCGCACAACAGCTGCTTCTCCCCACCCTCGTTGCTCCACTCCACAGACCAAGTGGTTTTGGCAGCATGTCAGTAGCAGGGAGGCTTTGTCTGCACCCACACTGGGGCCAGGCAGCTGGGAGCCCATTCCCTAGCTGCAGAGCAGACATGACTTTAAGCCTGTGGGGAGCTGTGCCAGGGCCAGGCATTTGCAAACTGCATTTAGCTGTTGCCACTTCTTCCAACCCCCTGCTCTACAGCTGCAACGTGAGTGTAGCTCCTAAACTGTGGAGAGCTGTGCCCACGCTGCAGCTGGCAGGGGAGGGGAAGGGGAGAAGCACTAGTAGCATGGATGTAGTTTACAGGTACCTCTCCCCAGCTCAGCTCCCCACTTCCTGGAAGCTGCAGGTGCAGTTCCCACCTGCGTGTCCCCAGCATGGGTGCAGGGAAGCTCCCCCACCACTGGCATACTGCCAAAACTGCTGAGTCCATGGTGAATTCAAGCTAGGTTGTTTCTGCTTGTGGCTTGTAAAAGATCTCTGCCCTCTGGTCTACACAGAATGAGTTACTAAACTGGGCCTGTAGTGGATCATAGACACCTAGTATTATATGATCATGTAATGAAAAACCCAGTATCTTATTGAAATATGTATGTGCAGGGGAAAGGGAAAGCTAATTCTGAGTCTCATTTGTGGGTTTCAGTTAGAACTGTCCACAAATGTTGACATTTGTAATTACTGCATTTGGCTCTCTAATGTCTTTGGATGAATTCTGTGTTTTGTTTGTTTTGGTAGCTATTTCAGGTGCAAGAAACTGTAAAATGCTTTCTCTCCATTTTTGTAAATATATTAATACTAATCTTCCTTTTTTAAAATTGAGAATTGAAAGCAATTAGTAAGTTCTACTCTACGGAACAGAGCCATGGAACCTTTGCTGGCTGTTGGCCGGAATGACCTGCATTGGATTGGAGGTGGTGGATGCTAGGACCTGGCTGCTGCCACCACTTGTCCCCGTAGCAGCATGGGGAGGCGGGTCCATAGAAGACCTCCCTCCTGCCACTTAATGCTGCCAAAGCCCCATGTTCACAGGCCAGATCCAGCCCATGGACCATAGGTTTCCCACCCATGAAAAGACAACTTTTCATGTGGAAGTTTTCATGGGGTATGTTCTTTCACCAAAGTTCTTGTAATTTTAGTATACAGTACCTATATGCTGACAGAACATCTGTCCATCTCTCTCTCTCTCTCAGGTTTATCCAAGATAGTACAGACATTATAGAAATTTATCCTGGAGATGGATCAGTTTTCAAGTCACAAGGAACATTATTGGGAAACTATTTCACACACTATTCAATTCAGAAAGGATCAAGACAGGTAGGAATAAAATATATTTTTTTAAAACTGTCATTTTTTAATATTATATTTGAGGATAGCAACATCTGTTGCTTTAAGAAACTGATAATGTAACATGAAGAGTCCTATTGCATACCCTATCATAGTAATCTGGATTGCACCAATATTTTGTATATTAGGTTTTTTGAAGCCTTTCAACACTTATGTATTTTCATCACTTATGGATAAGGCAGGAAAACCTGAAGGACATGACAAAGTACTGAGAAGTCTGATACATTTTGCTGTCCAGCGCGACAAGAGGCAATCCAGGACATTTAGGAAAGAGAGAAGTTGTGCCGCAAGCATGCAAATGTGCAGGCTTTGACCATTTTCTGACTGAAGATCCCCAAGTACTGTATTCTGGTTGACTAATCATTCATCTTGAAAAAGCTACCTATTTAGTTCCTGTGGGGGTATGTGCCTGAGGTAGTGGTTCTCAACGTTTTTTAGACTTGAGCTACCCCTTGGAAAATGCCAGCTGTTATGTTTCACTTTTTTTTTTTGACTACAAAAAAAATAGAGCAATTCTGTTGCAAAGAACTCAGACCACAACAGGTCAAGATGTTATTGACACTCTAGATTCCTTTTTGAAATCTCTGGGTTTCTCAAGTGAATCATTGTTGAGCACCTAACAGTGATAGTATTGTGTGGCACCCTGCCGCACCCTCAAAAAATTTAATAGTACCCCAGAGTACTGCAGCACTCTGATTAAAAATTACTGTTCTGAGGGGTTCAGGCTCTTTAGGATGTACTAGAAGAATCTTGGCAATGCTGAAGCCAGGTACACAAGTCTTAGAGTAGTGAAACCATTGGCTTCCCTTTAGAAAGTAAGTAGTAACTGGGGCCTAGAGGCACAGATGGGTATGTACCAGGAGGGGTATGTAAAGATTAGAGGCAGAGGATATCCTGTGGATAAGATGGAAAAGACTGCTATGGATAAGATCAGGTTCACGTTTCAGAAGTTCCTAAAGACACGGCCATGGAAACGGTTATGTTTCTTTTTCTCTTATATGCTCTGATCAGAACATCTTTTAACACTGGGGAAAAGGTTCAATGGTCTAATAAATTCCTTGGCTTCAGATATCGATGGTAATGACCATAATAATGGTGTTTGTTGATGCACTGGTAGCAATGTTCTTTACCTTGCACAGTCACGGAAAAGTAAAATAGTATTCAAATTCAGTTGGCAACCTTATTCCATGAGCATAGCTTTTTTCAGTGATCTGTAGACAAGTTACCTCTTTGCTTAAAGAGTTTGGTTCCATTTTAATCATTCTTTAACTCTGTTCCTTGCTTTGACAGTTTATGAGGCAAAATGACTTGCCTGCAATTCTGCACCAACTTGAGATAATTTAAGAATTCAAAACAGTGAAAGGAGCAACACCAGAGGGTTCATAATTGTTTTGTGATTTGTAGTCTGCCGCATATCTATTTAAACTATTGTTTTATTAATGTGGCTTCTAAAAATAACTGTTCTCCTTTCTGCTTTATGATCTATAGAGAGAAGAAAAGGTGTACTCAATAAGCAATCTGCCCCCTGATGTACCAGGAAGTCCATATTCTATAAACTCCATCATTACTCAGGCAACCAGGTGAACCATTTGTTTTATTTTTGTTTTTGCCCTTTGAAGTGGCATTCAGACACAAAGGTTACAAAATGATAATTGTCACTCCGGTTTAATTTCTTATACTTGCTTAAAGTAGAAAGTTAAGTAATTCATGTCTGTTCTACTGGTGACATGTATAAGAATAGAAAATTACAGTATAAAGACCCTAAGAACACCTAACTCAATTGATTTACAGTATGTGATTATACAGTGAAGTGCAGTTACTTTATTTTTCTTCACAGAATTCTTCAGTACTGCTACAAGACTAAACTGTCTTTAATACATAACTACAGTAGCTGTTGTTGGAATATGGTATGTAACATTATGCTTTTTAAATATGCCCGTATGAATGGTTGCCACGGATTTAATGGACTAAAAAAAGGAGAAACCATAAGGAGGAGAGGAGAAAGTAAATGAACGAATACCAAGGACTAATCGGTTGGGCAGCTTGCTTAACCAGTTCTCTGAGAGGGCATATTTGTGAAGGAGAGAGAAATCAGGCAGGGAAGTCTGTTAAAGGTCTGGTGAATTAGCTGCTGCTTAAGAGTCTTGGTAAGAGCTAAACGAATGGCACAAGCTATTACATTTAAAGTATTCTCATGTTTGTTCCATACTAGATACGAAAGACAGAGGGATGGGAAACCTTGCCAGTTTTGTTGGATGAAACAGTTATTCCCAATGTAGGAAGACTGGTGGCATATTCGGATAATAAAGTGCATGCTGTTTTTTGTGATGGGATGACCTTGACTATGATGTGGGATTTTAACTTTCGTTATGGAAAAACACAGGTAATCTTTGGAAACTGAAAGTAGAAATTCAGCTTTTCATTTAATTTCTTCCATTCTGTGGATAAGCAAATGTATCTTTATCCCAGGTAAAGCTGGGCCATGAAGCAGCCTTTGTATAATATTTGCTTTGGGAATGGGGCCTTGAAATAGCCATTTTAAAAACTTTTCATTTGGGTGATAAGTCAGAAATCCAAAGAAAAAGTCTGATGCATATAAAACAGAAATTGGGCTTTTTGAGGACCCTTGTAAGTCATGTTCATTATATCTGATGATTCATGCACTCAAGCTGGTTTGTAAATATTTCATTTGTTTGCAAATCTGGCCTATCTTTAGTTGCCAATATTTGTATATGTATACATGTTGACATATCACTAATATGTTAACTGTGGGCTTGAAAGGAAAAATCTCCTTTAGCCTGTAATGAAAGACTCATGTCTCCTAAGTACAAACAACGAGAGAAGCTCTGCTACTTATGTTTACTTATTATGACATGCATTTTGCTTGAATCTTTTATCCTTGAAAACACGTTTAATTCTGAGTGTTTGAGTCATTTGAACTACTGAATAATTTTGAATCATGACATAGTTTTCTGAAGCAATATCTCAGTAAAGCATTAAAGTAATTCATGAGGTATAATTTTACTTATCTTTACAGATGATGTTAATAGTTTGGTTTTTAAAATGAACAGATCACTAAGAATGACTTGTAGCCTAACCTAACTTGTATAGGGAAATAATGTCAGCTTATAAGAAACTGCTCCCTCAGTTAACTTCCTAGGCGAGTTATGATGGTATCAAAAGACACGTGAACTGCAGTCAGACAGTTAGAGATGTGGAAGTCACTCTTGCCTGCCTTGGGCATGAATGACTTTCTTGAATTGAATATCTTTTATTAGATCAACTTAAATAAGGTGGTCTAATAAACAACTTAAATAACGGATATTAAACAAAACGTGTATTTCAAGTCCACTTGTTTATGTTCTTACATAAAGGAACGTAAAAGCATTTTACAGACTAACTTTGGGGATCTTGCATCACTAAGTATAATATGCAAAATTTCTCTATTCTGAAAAGTAACCCATTAGAAAGGGATTCCATTTTAATTTGGTAAATCTGTTCATTTTACAGCTAAATGTGTCAAATTTTTTCTCACCTTATTTCCAGTCTGCAAACAGTGGGCAATGCAGGGAGATTGTCATGCTGGTCTGACTTCCCACTTCAGAAATTCTGTCAAGCATCAGCTGGAGGGATAGGTGGACAAACAGTTTTGCTCTTCTGCAGTTCTGTTGCCCTATGGCACTTACTGGAAGTATAAATAAATAAGTAAAAATAAAAAGAGGCTGCAGGTATGACTTGAAATACACACAAAGAACAAGATTTGTTTGGGGTGCCATTTCTACATAATGACTTTTCAAACTATCATTTAGATTTCAGCCCATCCTCAGGTTCTAACTTCCAGAAAAATACAAGTAATATCTTCATGCAGTGTCAAAAGAAATGAATGGGATATGTTTTCCAGTAGTCTCCAACAGCATGGAAAAATCAGAGTTGGGGCCATATTTAGAACCAGAAGTTCCTGTTCCCTTTTTCTGTGTTTGTGCCACTATACTGTAGTATTTTTCTTCCTTAGCCAAGCACAAACACTAAATGGATTAGCAAGTCGAGACTTTGCAGATGTTTCATTTTAAACTAGCAGATGTTGCTCCTTTATACTTTATCACTGTTCTACAGCCAAATAAAAAAACCCAGGATGTCAGTTCTCATTTTTCTCTTCTGAAGATGAATCAAGACTCTACTACAGGCTGGTGCAAGTTAACAACCCATGATGGGACACAGCATCTAATCCAGATAAACAGTCCTGGACGCTATGAAAGGTATAAAGAGGTGATCTTAATCTTTTTGAAGTTAACACATTCTGGATTTCAACTTGAATCTGTGTTTCAAGAAAAGTAAGAAGCTGAATATATGTCTCTAAAATAGGCTGTAAAATGGCTGTATCTGACTGGCTGGTCGCTTTTCAGCTTGCATACCTCAGGGCAATCACCAGTTAATTATCGCATATGAGTTTCCTCTGATTTGCATCATTATGAATAGTTGCTTTTGGAAGGTAAAATATTTTTAAAATAGAAACTGAAAGTTGAAATGTAACTTGTGATTTAATTTCTTTCATTCCATGGATAAACAAATATATCTTTGTCCCAAATAAAGCTGGGCCATGAAGCGGCTTTTCACTTGCTTTGCTACTGACATTGACTTCTCTCTGCCTATCAGTTTTTCCAGTCTACTTGTTCCAATTAGTGAAGCATTATTATGAAAATCATAAATAGCTCACTGTTCCATTTTAGTAGAGGATGTTCACATGTTTGCTCTTCTTTCAGCTAGGGTTTTTGTTCACATTTTTGCCATGGTTGTTGTTTTTCTGTTTTAATAGAAGAATGAAGGAGTTTTTTCCTAATTTTAATGGAAAAATCCCAGTTCCAACCTTTGCTTGTACATCATATTTTCAAGACCTCAAGTCATTCTTGTTGTTTTTTGCTGGACTCTTTCTGCTTTGTCAGCTACATGGAACAAATTCAGAGCTTGAATTCTCGTATGTTCAACTTTTTAGCTTCAAGATACCTGACTGGCTAGGCTATCTATAACTCCCTGTGGAGAAGGAGCTTGGGGAGTATAGTGGATGTTCCCCAGGGGATGACAAGGTCAAGCAGTCATAAACTCCTCCATGGCCATTTCAGGCTGGACATAAGGAAGAACTTCTTTACTGTCTGAGCCCCCAGGGAATAGACTGCTGCCGGAAGTGGTTCAAGCACGTACTTTGAACACCTTCAGGAGAAATTCGGATGTTTATCTTGCTGGGATCCTATGACTTCCTGACCCTGGGGCAAGGGACTGGACTTGATGATCTTCCAAGGTCCCTTCCAGCCCTAATGTCTATGAAATATGTTCCTTGAAGTGCAATGCTCAAAACTGGAAACAGCACTTCTGCTGCTGAGTAGAAGAATCACCCCCCTGGACTTGCAACCAGCACACCTGTTAATGCGATGCAACCCAGTATGCTATTACGTACTGTTGCAATAGTCAGTTTATGGTCCACTATACTCCCCAAGCCCTTTCTCCACCGGGAGTTATAGACAGCCTAGCCAGTCAAGTATCTTGGAAGCTAAAAAGTTGAACATACCAGAATTCAAGCTCTGAATTTGTTCCATTCAATTGAACATATCAAATCTGATCCTTTAATTTCTTAACTGTTGCTCTCTACCTATCAAATACTGCTCATCCTTCTATCATTTGAAACTCTTAAAAAGTGCTATCAGCAACAAAGTACAGTCTTATTCCAGAAAGCAACTTTTAAAAGAAATTCCTTTTATATTTGGTGCACTTCAGTGTTTAACAAGGTTGTGGATAGATAGGTTGGTTTATTCACTGGATACTCTCTGGTTCTGTTGTGTGGCTTTTTTTAATGATTTTATCAAATTCATAGATTTCACAGATTTCATAGACATTTGGGCTGGA